CCCAGTGGGACCTCCCCAGCGCCCCCCAGTGGTCCCCAGCGCCCCCCAGTCGGGCCTCCCCAGCCGCGCCCAGTGCCCCCTCCGCCCCGGCGATTTTATTTTTCGCGACGCACCCCTCCTCCCCCCAGTGGGACCTCCCCAGCGCTCCCCAGTGGTCCCCAGCGCCCCCCAGTGGGGTCTCCCCAGCCGTGCCCAGTGCCCCCTCCGCCCCGGCGATTTTATTTTTCGCGACGCACCCCTCCTCCCCCCAGTGGGACCTCCCCAGCGCCCCCCAGTGGTCCCCAGCGCCCCCCAGTGGGACCTCCCCAGCCGCGCCCAGTGCACCCCCGCCCCGACGATTTTATTGTTCGCGACGCCCCCCCCCCCTAGTCTCCCCAGCTCGCCCTCTGAACCTCCTCTTGCGGCCCTGTTTGTTCACTCCTTCTGCGATGTCTGGCCCCCTTGCGGCCCTGTTTGTTCACTCCTTCTGCGATGTCTGGCCCCCTCTCCCCCCCCCTCCTCCTCCACCTCCTCCTCCTCCCCCTTCCTTTTTGTGCAAGAGCCATGGCGCACGTGCCCCTTGTTACGAAATCTGGAGTACCCGCCGCTCCGAGCCGAGGCCTGCTCGTGCGATGCTGCGCGCCCTCTCTTGGCCGAGAGAGTCGGGCGATGGGGTGCAGCGTGCGTGCTTGGGGCGTGGCTTCACGAGAGCTGCCTCCCCTCGTTCCCCCTCCGCCTCCCCCTCGCAGTGAACGTCCACGGTGAGGGCGGGGAACCTTCCCGAGGGCACCCCATAAGGATCACCCTGGCACGCGGAGCCGTCTGGTAAGAGGGCCCGGAGAACGAATCCGACAACGCAGGGCGGTGCAAGAAACTCTCCGGGCCGTTCACAAAGCGCAAGTTCTCGGGTCCGGGTGGTTTGTCCTCCCTTGATCTTGGCAAGGGCCGACGGAGCCTGCGCGCGACAGCCAAAACGCGCATCAAGGGCGGGTGGTAAGGACGCGAGACCCTTGGCTGCGGGCGACCAGTGAAAGCGGCAAAGGACGCAGAGGCAAGGGCACAAGGGCACCCTAGATATGAAGGCGCGCATCCTTACTGGGCGGAATGTATCGACGGAGCTTCGGGCGCGGCCTAACCGACCCCTCGCAAGCCATCCCCTTGGGTGGCGTCATCCTCGCCGTTCGGGCCCCCCTCCGACCCCACACATACGCCTTGGGGCGAGGCAAGGGGGACGCCACGGAAGGGGATGGATTGCTAGGGGTCAGCCGACAGAGCGGGCGATAGAGCCTGCTTGCTACAGTCGACCCATAGAATAAAGATGCGCGAAAAGGATGCAAGGGCCTTGGAAGGCCATGTTGACGTTTTTCGAGTGGGGCTGACCAACGCAAGTTGCCAGGGATGGGCCGAAGCTCCTGATGCGGGCCGACAATAGAGGAACAAACAGCGGCATGAACAGACACTTTTGACGGTCCGCGCGGATTTCTGGGGTCTGGGCTAGAGCCTCTCCCATTGCGCGTAACGCGCCAGGGGCGACGCCGGAGGCGCCGCCAGGGGGGCCCAACGCGGATCCAAGAAATCCGCACGGAGCTCGGAAAGTTGATGTTTGTGTTTTTTCGAGACGGAGCTGAATGGGGTAACGCTGCTCCTTCTGGTGACCTTCCTGGAGCCACTCGCTCCACCTGTGTGTCGATGCTGCGTCGAACGTTCATCGACTCGAGTCGATCTCGAGCCGAACCTGCATCGAACCTGGGTCGAACCTGAGTCGTAACTGGGTCGAACCTGCGTCGAACTGGAATCGAAGTAGAATTTAACTGAGGGGTCGAACAGATCCGTCAGGTGCGCCCCAGGAAGGTCTTCCACATGAGAATCCTACCCGAAGGTCTTCGACACTCCCCTAGAGGCCTCCCAGATAGGGTCCGAGTAGATGGTGTCGGAGGATCGCGCCGCATCGCCGATGCGGTTCGATGCGGAGCCCGATTTTTTCCCCGCCGACGGCGCCGATGCATCGCCGACGTCGCCAGTGCATCGCCGATGCATCGCCGATCCATCGGCGATGCACTGGCGATGCGGGAGATGGGGGAGCACGGAGGTGGGTCAGGAGGGGGACAAAAACACACAGACACAATTGATCGTCGATTCCCAGGAAAATCTACTAAAATATATGAAAAGCGGGGAGGAAGACAGAAACCCAGAACATATGGGAATACACGGCAAATCCTGGGTTTGGTGTGCATTTATTTGTGTGTCCCTGGGCCCCTTCAGTGGTGGTCCCAGACGTGCCCGCGCCGTGGCAAAAGTTACTTTCTGGGAGGTCCTGGAGCGTGCTCAGCCTGCCAGGGCCCTCCCCGAGGCCCTCGACAGGCCCCCGGGGACGTCAACTAGCGGCACTCGGGCGGATGGTAAGGGGGGCTGGCTTTAAATCCCAGACCCCATCTAGGAGGCCTAGACTTGTGGATCCCATGACAATGGACATTCTAACAATCCGATCATTGGATTACAGATGTGTTTAACATGTGTAAAAACACGTTCTGAACATGTTTCGAACATGTTTGAACCATATGTTTAAGACATATTTGAAACATATGCTAGACATCTGGAAAATTATTTGGCAGCATGCTTCCTCTCTATTAATCGACTCAGGCGTTGGCAGAACTGGGTTCAATGGAACCTGGTTTAGTGATGTGTACTGGGGGACGCGGACGCCTTCCCGCCCCGTTCCACTAACTGGAACTGCCGTCACCCGAAAAAGCACCAGCTGCGGCAGACCTGGTTTGGTGATTCTGGCCAATTCAAGGGCTCTGGGGCCCTTCCACTAACCGGGTCCCCTTACCTGGGGTCCTGGCCTCAGGTGGGCCCTGGAAACGACAGGGCCGTTTGGTTACCGGTTCCGTTTAGCCGTTTTTTTGCCGGTTCCGACGCCGTTTTTGTACCGGTTCCGTCGCCGTTTTTTGACCGGTTCCGGCTCCGGTTCCAATCCTGGAGCCGTTTTTTTGCCGTTTCCGGTCGCCGTTTTTTTGCCGTTTCCATTTTCAAGGGACACTTCTTCGGAAACGGTGAAAAAACGGGCCTGCCGCTTCTGGGGCCCACAAAGGTCCTGGCTATACCCGATCGACTTCCCAAAGCCTGGACCATCCGACCCCGCCCAGCCCCGCGCGCTGCGGCGGTCATGGTGCACGGCCAGCCGGTCAGCACCGAGAGGGCCTCCATCGCGTCGCCCCCGGCCGAGAGCGCCTCGAGGTGGTGGGCGCGGAAGCGGCGGGAGGGCGCAGCGGGAGGGAGGGACGGGGGAGGAGGAGGAGGAGGAGGAGGAGGAGGACGAGAAGAGGAGGAGAGGAGGAGAGGAGGATAGGAGGAGAGGAGGAGGAGAGGAGGAGGAGGGGAGGAGGAGGAGAGGGAGGAAGGGAGGAGGAGGAGGAGGAGAGGAGGAGGAGGAGGAGGAGGAGGAGGAGGAGGAGGAGGAGGGAGGAGGAGAGAGGGAGGAGTGAGGAGGGGGGGAGGAGGGAGGAGGGGGAGGGGGAGGAGGGAGGAGGGCGCAGCGGGAGGGAGGGAATGACAGGGCGGAGGAAGAGGGATCCCCGACGGTGGGCCCCAGGCTACAGTTACGTAGGTCGGGCATGTCCCCCATACAGGCAGATTTTGTAAGTAAAATTCTAAGGAATCAGAACTACTCAAAACGTACCCAAAAGTAGTGAAACACTCGTCCCCAGACCATATATTAACTATTTTTGGATATCCCTCCTGTAGAGGGACATGCCCGACTTGAGGCTACCGTCGGGCTTCAAAACATGGAGCGCTGCAAAAGTAGCGAAGCCCATTTTTTGGCGCCACAAACGCCTGGGTGCGCGAGGAGGGCTGGCGGAACAGCCAACGAACATCGATCCCCTTCTGAATCCAAAGCGGTCCTTCTATATCAGCGTCTTGACTGCAGGAGCGGACCCCGAGCGGGCAAGTGGTGTCCGTGGAGTTCAAATAGACTGAGGTCGTGCCCCAGACCTACACGGATTCTAAGGGATGTCCATAGAGTCCAATGAACTCTGGAGGATTCCTAAGTCTTTCTATGGATCCTTCGGGATTCCAAGGATTCCAAAGAAAGAGCTGGCCTCCGTCATGAAGCCGGACGGGTGCCCAGGCGGCGGACGGGGGGGAAGAGGCAAGGGGAGGAGAGGAGGGACGGGCAAAGGGAGGCAGAAGAAGTGGAAGGCGCATGCAAGTTATTGCGAAAAGGAGCACCAGGTGACGAGCGAACATCCTCTTTTCTTGCACCCAGTAAGCGGCTAGGTGCACGAGAAGCGCTAGAGGAACCACCATGGCAGGTCATGAGAGTGATGGGGCCGTGTGTGTGTGTGTGCGCAGGGTCCACATGGCACCACAGCGAGCCTCTTCCGAGCATAGGCTGCTCCTTCTTCCCCTTCTTCTTGCCTGCAGCCGACGGGCGCCTGTGCCTGGAGGCCCCTGCCTTCGGACGGGGGGCTGGGGCCCCAGGAAGGCCTCGCGGCTCTCTCTGCCGCGGGCGCTGCTGCAAAGATCGACGCGCCCCGAGGCGGAAACGGCGGCCCGCCGGAGAAGGCTCGAAAGGCCGTGCGAGGGGGAGGGGGCGAGGGGGCGGGATGCGATGGGGGAAGAGGCCAAAAGGCGGCGGAGAGGAGGACGTGCCATCGCTCGGACGTCCATTATCCGTGCATGTTTCGTTTTCGTGTGTGTCTGTGTCTTTTCTTCTCGCAGGGTGCTCCAGAATGTTCCTCAATGATCCCCGCCGAGAAAAAATGCACACGTCCGAGCGATGCCAAGAGGAAAGGAACGGGAAAGGCAAAGAAACGAGGATGGAGAGGAGAGGAGGAGACAAGAAGAGAGGAGAGAAGAGGAAGAGAGGAGAGGAGAGGAGAGGAGGGGAGGGGAGAGGAGGGGAGGAAAAGAGGAGGAGAGGAAAGGAGGGGAGAGGGAGGAGGAGGAGGAGGAAAGGAGGAAATGGGGAAACTAAGAAGAGAAAGGCAAGGAGGAAGAGGAAGATAATCGAGGCTGTCTCGTAGGATACGGGTAAGACTTTACCATGATAATGCTCTACCGTGATGTGCTACACACTGATCAATCCAATTGCCAATGCAACTCTTTCATATGTCATTATGGATATCCAAATTGTTTGTGCTCGTTTACACAGCAAGTGCTGCATTATGTGTATCATACTACTACGTTGCGCGGTGTACCATGTGCAAGAACTGCGACGACATGACACTTTGCGCGCCACACGCCGATTTCAGAAGCGCGTCTGCTCAGATGCCCCGCGGGACCGTCATGAACCCCAAAATGTGCACAGCAACGCACTCGCTTGACTGTGCAATTTACATGATTGACCCCCGCGGTGCCTACCGCCCCCTGTGTCGCACCCCCATCCATCTCCCGAGGAAGCCGACGACTGCGAAACACAAAGCAGTTCTGTATGACACATCTGAACCAGCTAGGACCCTGGCATGAAGCAAGAAGCATAGGCGAGCGGGGAGAACGCGGCACGTGCCTTTATTTCCTCGCATGAGAATTGATGCAAGTGGCGTTGCTGCTTCACTTCTGCCTAATAGCTCTCTTGCTTGCGATAGCCATCCTGGCATGTTCTCCCAGCGGGGGCGGGATTCTACCACAAGTTGGCCCCCGTCCTCTGGGCCACCTGACAGGCTGCGGCTGCGCTTGGCCACGCACCCGAAGTTTTCCCGAATGCAACTCGATCGTACCGTCTTAACAACAATGCACCTCGTGTCTGGCGACTGTTGGCGGTCGACGCTTGTCCATTACCTGATGCGCCCTGTCTCTTGCTGCCAACGAGTCGGGCGGTCCCCAGCGTAGCGGCGCTGGTAAGGACGTGCCTGCTCGCGCTGTCCGCCGCTGACAAACCCTCATCTCGCGTTTTCCTCGTGTGAGACCAAGCGATCAACGGATCGGGACTGACATGACATCCGGCTCCATATCGGCCTCCTGTTCTAACTCTGAGTTCTGTAGTAACCCCAGGAAGCATTTAAGAACCCCCCCGGCGATATCTTAGCACCGCATTTTTATTCGATATTCCGAGGAGCCGAAATAACCGCACGATAGGTTTAGCACCCGGACACACAACAAATTCGCGGAGGCCTGGCCCCTGGGCTACAATCGAAATTCGAAATTCAAATCTGCGTGGCTCTCATGAAAGACTCAGGATGTCGCTTGCTGCTTGGAAAATTCGTGGGTGGAGGAGAGGAGGAGGAGGATGAGGAGGAGGAGGAGGGCTCCTGGTGCCAGGTAACGCTTCCAGGGTGCGGAAGGGTTATCGATTTGCCGGAAGGGGGGGGGGGGGGTCTTAAATGCTTCCTGGGGTTAAGGCTCCAAGAATTTGACAGCTGCAGGCCTTTGAACAGAAGGGCGGGACGTCCCCCGCCGAAAGCACGCTGCTTCCACTCTCCCGCCGAATGGCTGCAGGGGCGCACGTTTGAGGTAAAGCATGCCGTGCCGCGTCTGGAAGAAAGGAGCTTCCGCTGGAAAGCTGCGGGAGGCACTGCCCTCCTGAGTAGCCCGCCTGGGCACCCGCGCCTAATGGCGAACGCCCGCAGCCGGAGGCTACCCGAGGATCGCCAAACGGCACTCCGTTCCTTTGCCTGCCCTCCCGCCTCTGCCACCCGGCGCCTTGCAGAGGCCGGCCTCCTCGGCGCCGCCCTCCGGCAGGTCGCGGCAATTTTCATTCTGGTGACTTCCGCAACGGATCTCGCCCTCAACCTCCCGACGCAACCGCCACTGCCACGCGGCACCGGGAACCGCCGCTCGGCGTCCCACTGCCACCTCCGCGGGCAGCTCGGACACCTCACGTCTGCCTGGGAGGGGCCTCTGATGGTGAGATGCGGCGCGGGCCGGGGCCGAACCGGCACGCGTACTATCTCCGCCAATCCTGACGAGGATTGCTGAGGCAACGCCTCTCCCTTCCAGATGGCGCCCGAGAAGAAACGGCCCTTCCTCGAGGGCTTCAGGCAACGCCCGACAGGGGATCTCGCCCCCCCCTCCCCTCGCGACCCCCAGGAGACAGCCCGCCACGCGACTGTGAAACGCGATTATCTACAGCGCAACTATCCGCTCCCCTAAGGATGGCGGCGCAATGCCCGAAGAAGCCATCGCCCCCTACGGCGCGGGCTCTTGCCACTGCTGCGAAGGATAATGATCGCTCCGCGCTCCCGAGCACCGGATATCACAAAAACAACATCGGGCTTGGGGCTTGCGCTGCTTATCAGAGCAGGGAGTAACGATCACGTCGAATGGTTGACTCCAAGTTGAGGACATGGGGCTGACCTCAGAAGTGAAGCAGCTGCCACCAAGTCCGCCCCACAACCATGATGCACCTTTGATGGGGATACAAGAGCTATGCCCCTCTCACTCTTCGAATAGGGCCCCTTCTCTCCCCCGTGCAGCCTGCAAGTCTCACAACTGGCCCCGGGGTCGCCCCGCGGCTGCGCAGCGCAAGTACCAGCGCTATAAGCTACTGCCTGCCCTGTGAGGTTGCGCCCGAAAAGCTTCCCCACGACTGCGAAGCTCATGTTGCACCCAGCCCCTGGCCCGCCCCCCCCGCGAACGTGAAGCACAAGTAACGGCTATGAGCTATGCCATAGCCTATGCATTCTCGCCTGGAGCGTTGCCCCACGACTGCGAAGCAAAAGTTGCAATTGGCCCCTGGGTCGCCCCGCGACTGTGAAGCACAAGTATCAGCTAGATGACACTAAATCGCCCCTGGAGTTTCGCCCAAAGGGTTGCCCCACGACTGCGCAGCACATGTTGCAACTGGTCCCTGGATCGCCCCCGGCCTGTGAAGCGCAAGTATAAGCTATGAAAAACCGCATGGCCTATAACTCTCGTCCGAAATACTACCCCACGACTGCGAAGCACAAGTTGCAACTGGACCCCGGGTTGTCCCGCGACCGCGAAGCACCAGCATCAGCTATGAGCTGAATGGCCTATCAGCTGTCGCCCAAAGGGCCGCCCCACGTCTGAGAAGCACAGGTTGCAACTAGCCCCTGTGTCGCCCCTTGTCTGAAGCACAAATAACAACTATAGGCTATTGCGTCGCCCCAGGGGGCTGTCCCACGACCGCGAAGCGCAAATTACAACCGGACCCCGGGCCGCCCCGCGACCGCGAAGCAAAGGATCAGCTACATGATGCTCAATAGCCCCTAAATGTTCGCCCGAAGGGCTGCCCCGCGACTGCGAAGAACAAATTATCACTGCCCCCTGAAGCGCAAGCAACAGCTACCCACGACAATGAAGCACAGGTACCAGCTACAAGATATACACTTTCGCCCAAAGGGCCGCCCCACGACTGTGAAACATGAGTAACAGAGTCAGGCTACCACATCGCCGTGCCAATCTTCTGCGCACCCATTTGAATTGGTGCCCATTCGCCAGCGACAGTGGCGTGAGAAGGCTGCCTCGCCTGCGCGAGTCCTGGATTTCGGCCGCGATCGCTGACTCAGCCGATGCTGGAGACGAAGGTGGAGGCAGGAGCGGGGGATAGTGCGCGCGGATAGGGCGCGGTCCCGCCCTGGTTGGCTGGGTCGGCTGGCCCACCACTGGGGCAGGCAACGGTGGCTCCAGCAGCGCATCTTTGGCCGCCGATGCGCCCGTCTGGAAACCTGGGTCTCGCCCTTCCTTGTGGAAGGCTTTCCTTTGTTTTTTTCGATGGCACCTGCCTGGGGTACAGTAGCAGCCCCTAGCCGCGTGGCAAAGATACCGCTTCAAAGTTGCGGCGTTCTCACTGCAAGTCTGGCGCTCCTCCATCGACGGTTGTGCTAAGAGGGAGGCTCCCATCTTCGCATACCGGCATGCAACACATGCAACATCGTTTCCCGTGGCAGGGTGCCACTCACGCGTCTGAGGTTCTGGCGTGTCGGCATCTACGTGCGCCACGACCTAGTAAATGTTCTATCCTAGCCTGGATTAGATCTGATCGGAACTCGCAAATCAGCATAGATGTGGTGCCTGGAGACAACTTGCGCCCAAAGCACCGACTCGAGCTGCACCCCCCCCCAGAAGATCAGAGCGGATGGCGTTTGACTCCGGGCAATGTTCCATGCACGCTAGGACGGCCACATGCTCCGCTGCTGGTGATGTCCGCGGGTACTGGTCGCCTACCGACCCCTTCATTGCCTCACAAAGGTCCCCCCCGGCGGTGAGCTTAATCACCGCCCACCCTGCCGCGTGGAACTCTGCGGGCCCCTGGAAGGCGTCTCGGGTGCTGACCGAGAAGTCCAGGCAGCAGAATTGGAAGGGCACGATGCCCGTATCCTTGGGAGGTTGCACTGAGAATCCGAGCAATTCTAAAAATCCGCACGCCAATGGAAAGTTCTGGCACTTGCCATTGGGGGCGATTCTACCAGCTGGCTGCAGCATTGCCTCCCTAAGGGGAACTGTTATTAGGCAGCGGTGCAGCCTGTGCGAACTATCAGCTGACTCAAAGGAGCCTACGAAAGTGGCGACGGTTGCGCAGTTCGCAGCCACCCAGGGAGCAGCGAGGTCTCGTCTGGGTCTGCGTGGCCCCCGACACCGCTGGACCTCCCAGGAGCCCACGACAGTGGCGACGGTTGCGCAGTTCGCAGCCACCCAAGGAGCAGCGAGGCCCAATCTAGTCTGTGTCCGCGTGGCCCCCGACTCCGTTGGACCTCCAAGGAGCACACGAAAGCGGTGACGGTTGCGCAATGTGCAGCCACCCAAGGAACCGCGAGGTCCCGTCTGGACTGGGTCCGCGTGGCCCCCGACCCCGCTGGACCTCGCAGGAGCTCACGACAGTGGCGACACGGATGCGCAATTCGCAGCCACCCGAGGAACAGCGAGGTCCGGCCTGGGTCCGCGTTGCCCTCCACTCTGCCAGAGTTCCCAAGCCTCCCAGGAGTCCACGACAGTACCTCCCAGGAGCCCGCGGAGGTGGCGACGGTTGCGCAGTTCTCAGCCATCCAGGGAGTAGCGCAGGAGGAGGCAGGAGGAGGGGGGAGCGGGGGAGGAAGAGCAGGAGGGGGAGGAAGAGGAGGAGGAGGAGGAGGAGGAGAAGGAGGAAGAGGAGGAGGAGGAGGAGGTGGTGACCGCAGTGCTCGATTCAAAACCAAAACCCGACACAGGAGAGTTGGTTGGGAATTATCATGCACCGACAACCCCTTGGGCTAATGCGTGAGTCCTGGTCTTGGGTTTGGTAGGTAAGATTCACTCCCTGGGGCGTGTCCCCGGGCGGTGGGACATGACTGGGGCGACAGGAACACGAGAGCGTGAGAAGATGACAGTGAAGACAAGGAGCTACCTTTCTCAAGAAAAATCTACAACGCAAACAAAAAATGAAGATCCACAACGACAAGCCAGGAATCGCTAAAACACATCAGACAATAGCTTGTTTTGGCTCTTAAGTTGTCAAGAACCCAAAATGCAAAACGGTTAAACAACACACGCCCTGGGTCGAGGAGGAAGCCAGCGTCGTCTGTCGTCGGTCGTCGTCTTCGTCGAGGTCAATCTTGTCGGGGTGGATGTCGAAGTCATCGTCGCCGTCGTTTCCCGTCGTCGTCGTCGTTGTCGTAATGGTCGTCGTCGTCGTCGGCGGCGCCGGCGTCGGCGTCGGCGTCGTCGTCGTCGTCCTCGTCGTCGTCGTCCTTGTCGCTCGTCATTGTCTTCGTTCGTCGTTCGTCGTGGTCGTCGACGTCATCGATGTCGTCGTCGCGAGGTCGCGAGATGCAGAACACCTTGAGGGGAAGGGCGGGGCACCGGAGGTAGGTTGGGCATGTCCTCCTGCAGGCGAATTTTGGGCCCGACTTACAAATATGCCAAACGATTCAAAACAAACCAAACATTAGTCGAAACATCGCACCCAGACTGTTTTTCAACTATTTCTAAAAGGGATCCCTCCTGTCAGATTTACAAGGTATTCAAAGCATGCGCACAACTATCCCCACATATCTATAACAATAATGTAAACATAGAGGAATAGTTTTTTTTTGGGGGGGGAGGTCAGGGAACACGCGAAGCACCAGCCAGAAGCCACTCGCCGTCAGCTGCCTGCAACGCCACCGGCGGACAAATCCAGCCAGGACTACGGGGGCACAAACAAATGTCACGGACTCGGTGCGCGGGCGATTTTCCGCCACTGCTTAGGAGAACACTCTCCCAACAAAGCGTGGCTCTTTTCCCGCCGCGGGGAAAGAGAAGCGGTTTTCCTCCTACGAACCGTTCCCCGACGAATCTCTGACCGCTTTTGGATTTTCCTCCTGCAGAGGGACACGCTCGGCGCCGGCCCGCGGCGGCAGGGCCCGTCCAGCGACCTGCCCCGGGCCCGCGGCGGCAGGGGCGGCCCGCCTCGTAGGAGCCGCAGGCCTTCGCAAACGCCTCCGGCCGGGCAGCCGGCGGAGGGCGAAGGGGGAGGAGGGCGACGGGGAGGAGAGCGACGGGGAGGAGGGCGACGGGGAGGAGGAGGAGGAGGGAGAGGAGGAGGAGGAGGAGGGCGACGGGGAGGATGGCGACGGGGAGGAGGAGAAGGAGGAGGAGGAGGAGGAGGAGGGGGAGGAGGAGGATGATGATGATGATGATGATGATGATGATGATGATGAGGAGGAGGAGGAGGAGGAGGCGTCCTCCTTACCCCCAGAACTCGTAGGAGCCGCAAGCCTTCGCGAACGCCTCTGGCCGGACAACTAGGAGGAGGGTAAGAGGGGGAGGAGGGCGACGGGGAGGAGAGGAGGAAACGCCCTCTTGTCTCCCTTTTTTTCCCCCCTTCAGGGTGCATCTCTGACAATCTTCGATGAAACCAAACCGTCCGTTATCCTTACAAATTCCTCTTTGTACCTCTTGGTGATGTCCTCCTCCCACCGACTGGTGGGAGGGATTCTGGTGGGAGGGATTCGAGGGCATCGGGCGCATCAGCGCGAGCTTGTCCGCAGCTTCGATACTCCCAGGTTGATGACACGCGCAATCGACTCTGTGCCCCTGCGGTCCACCATCTCGGCCTGCACCCGCGGCTGGCCTTCTAACTACGTTTAGGTCAGGCATGTCCTCTTACAGGCGGGTTTTGGACGGAAGATAATCAATAATAAAAAATGCCTGACAACAGTCAAAAACAGTCCAAACATCGTCCCCATATTTTTTGCTTGTGACAAGCAATGTTTGAAAATTCCTCCTGCAGAGGGACACGCCCGACTTAAAACTGCCTCACTTCACTGCCTGCTGTTGCACGCCGTTGCTTGCACCGAGGCCCCGGTCGCGTATACGGTCGGGCACTGCTGCTTCGCGTGCCGCGTACCGCGGC